GATTTTTTATATAATAATGCGTTGATTTTATATGTAGATTTTCCTGCTTGGCTTCAAGGCTGTAAAATGTTACATCTCGCATATTTATTTGAGGGGAAAAAATGGCGAGAAATTATTAATATGAATTCTAGAGACTTAGAAACGTTGGGTGTTAGATCAATGAATTTTCGACGTAGATTAACAACATATTTTTGGGTTATACGATTAGATCTCGTGAGTTTATAATCAATTAATAATTATTTACATGATTAAAAATAATGATAGATTGAATTAGTTTATAATATTATCACTGTTTTCAAAAAGATTTGAAATAAAAAATGGTTTAAATATTGTGAATACATGATTAATTACTGTGAATACCTGTTATTCTTTTAAATACTTTAAAAATAATAGTTATATTTAAAGTATTTATTTAAAATATTTAATAAAGTATTCATAATATTTAAAAAATTTTTTATTTCAAATATTTGAAAGTAGCTATAATATTACTACCTACCGAAAAGTGCTTAAAAATTTAATATTTCCCATGCATACAAGTAAAAGTTATAAAAAACACTTTTGGTTAGTAGTGTATTTTTTAATTAATAGTATTAAAAATACATGATAAAACGAAAAGACACCGAGTTTGAATGTCAAGCTATTTATTCTAACCACTATTTTTTCTATTTTGAGTTTTAAAAATTCGGATATTTACACTGAATCAAAATATCTTAATGAGTAGGAACAAAATAGTAGCTGTATGATAACATAGTTACTATGTAGTTACCGCGTCCAAGTTTCGGTATAGTAACAAAGGAAAACAAGAAATTACGCATGCATAAACAATGTATTTTATTCTTTATATCTGGTTTTAAAAATTCTCAACAATTAGATAATGACAGATAATATTATAGTATCAGTACGGACAACAAATTCTGAAATAATTTCCCATATGTAGAAACTGTTTCACCATTTAATTCAGTGATAAAAACTTTACCTATAAGCTCCCACCGATATCTACTTCAGACACTTTTTTTATTTTCTCTGTATATATCTTGAATAAAATTAAAATTTACACAAATAAGTTTTTGTTCACAAAAATGGTATTGAAAAAAAATACTTACAATCGCACGTTTGGCCTTCCAAAAACTCTTAATTAACAGAATTCGATCTTCAATAGATTCAATTCCCAAAGCTACCAAATCTTTATAATTTAATTCAAAAATTTCTTTCCAATTTTTTCCTTCAAATTTTGAAGCGTATTGTTTCATCCCTATAGTGCCAAGATACGATGGAAAATCTATTGAATTTTTAAAATAACGTTTAAAATATATTATCTATGTTAATCATTAATAAAGTTTTTTTTTATATTTATAATTTAATGTACCATCTAATAATTCGG